CGCGAATTCGGCGCTTTCATTCTTAGACTACGACAAAACCGCGATCCTAAAACAAGACTCTTATTTCGCGATCATAACCGTGATCGCGTTACGCGTACTTGCCGCGACTTTTTATAGCGAATTGCGGCGCGACAATAGCAAGATAGTTAATCTGGGCAGTTTTCTTTTCTTTATGATACCATCATTATTCGTTCTGTAACTTACCTTTTAGTACACATTTCCCACTGTTAGTTTCGCTGTAACGTGCTGCATAGGCCGCACGATGTATGAGAACGTACCGATCAATAATTTCAAATCACTAACAATAATTTCGAATCACGTGTAAATAGGAGATTTAGAGGTGAAAAAATGATAAATTCACTCTGCAGACACAGTGTATTGTCCTGTATAGATTAGGGCTATAGTCAACCTAGAAATATAAATTTTGACAACCAAAGGCAAGTCGTTCTTTTTCAGTTCATTAATAAAAAAACCTTAACTTACGGTGTTCTGCACTCCTAAAATGCTATGTCTAACCAATTCGTTTGCCTTTCTTCCTTCAAGCCAACATTTCCTAGGTTCTTTCTGGAGTGCTTTAGTGGGGTGCATCTTCTAAAGAGAAAAAAAAATCGAGAAGTTTTTTTGTAAGATTGCAAAGTAAGTGTGCTTAATTTTATCTCAAATACACAAACACACACAGCTTTAAGAAGAAAGCTTAAAACTCGCTGACCTATGATTGTTTCAAATAGAGAACTCCAGTTCTGTTCTTCAGATCTCAAGATTTGTTTTTCATTTTCCAAAGAACGAAAAAATCAGTTTTTCAAAAGTTGAAGAGGAAATTTAGAGCTCTCGAAAGCTGAAGAACAGAATTTGTCTCTATTTGGGATAAATGAATTTCCGCTGATTTTCGGTTCTTTTAAAAGCTGAAGAATACTTTTTTTTTTAGAGTATATCCTACGAGTCGAAAGAGGAAAGTATGTTGAACAAATTAAACCTGCAACATTCTCCTCGAGCCAGTGAGACTAACCCGCTCGTCACCGCTTCTAGTGTCTGTTATGTTTGTCGTGTGTCGATTTAATCTTTTCCAAAGTTCTTTTGGATCATTGTCTGATTGTAGTATAAATGGTTTGGACGATCACTATGAACTAAATCTGACTGTACGACACCAAACGGATCTATCAACTAATATGTATCCAATGCACAAAAAAATCATGTATTTTCAAGTTTTAAGCAGATTTTTGGACTATTGACAAAATTTTATACAGGTAGAATGTTCTGAATATTAGTTATTGAAATTTGGAAATTACGTTCGCTGTGTTTCTTTGATTAAAATCTTATTGATCAACTGAGTCATCTAAAATACTACAAGAAGGACCAAGATGTTTTTCTATCCTAATCTATGCTGCATTTTTTCTTGAAAAATCTTGAACAATCTCGTGGAACGCGCTCTAGAAACATTTGGAATAATCTCTTGGAAGGTTTTCTAGGTTGGAAATATGACAATTCCACTGACACTTCAATGGTTTACTTGAACGATCAGACCCAATGATCGCCGAAATTGTACAGAGACGCTTAGCCAAACGTAGTCAACAAAAAGCAACTGTGTTAACGCAAGAGGATGCTATTGTTGACTCCATATTAGCTTCTGAAAAATACTTTGTTAATATCTTTGATTTGTATATATATTTTTTTTTTATTTAAGCTTTTTATCGAAAAAAAACAGAACGATATGCGCAAGCGGCTTTCGCCATATATGCTTCGTAAAATGTATAAAAAAATTGTATATATCTCTTACGTGTATTCTTTTAAATGTAACTTTTTCCAAACCAAATAAAATATGAAAGGAAACTTAAAATACTTTTACATAGTATCATCATGGACTGTATTACATACTGTCATACTAGTAATGTATCTCTAAGAAAATGAATGCACGTAATTTCCCAAATTTCAGTAACCATTATTCAGAACATTCTACTCGAAAATTCTGTCAATAGTCCAAAAACCGGCTTAAAACTTGAAAATACGTAATTTTTTGTGATTTGCTAGATATTATAGTGGTCAAAGAATTCCAAAATCATCATCGATCGATTTAGCAAGGTTAAAAACCGCTAGACCATCAGCGCGACTGGATATTTCGACCTTTTCTCAATATTCCGCCTACTACACGCGTTTATCGTGTATTGTACATGTAAGAGTAGGGAGGTCTTGAATGGCCTGCAGTTCTCTTATATATTCGTTGAACAAGTTTGAGCAAAAACTGTGGGTTTCTAACCCTGTCCCACGTACAATGGTGATTAATAAATGGTCAGATTTCATCGGCGCTCGTCTGCGATGTTCTCTTTTGCAGAATGCTCCTCCTTGTTCTGTTTATAACTGCTCCTGCCTTATAACAAACTATTTGTAATTCCTCGTTATAGGGAATTTTATTTTAATCTGCTTCCCCTTCGAGCATATATAATACAATTTCATTTAGGCTAAGAGAACCAGATATAAATGACACACTGATTTCACCATGTTTTACCCGGCTTTCTCTTCGGGAACATAATGCAACCAAGGTGAATCATTCACTTCAGACTTGCTTAGAGGTCGAGCTTAAAATAACTGCACAGTCTGTTACGTGCGTGTTACTTGTAAACACGCTCTCCACTTGTCGCAGAAACTATACTAACAGCCTTTTGAACCTTTAGAAAAATTTTGATTATTATTTCTGATACAGCTCAATCTCGGACTTTCCTAAGTTCTACCACATGCTTCTCAATGGTTCGACATATAACTAGCATTTGATCTCAAAATAAAAGTAAGAGCGCTTGATGTTTGAATGTGCAGTGTAGAAGTCTGAACATCTCTCTAAGATGAATATTTCAAGAACGTGTGGAAATACAAATACTTGTTCTTACAACAGTTTTTACAGTGCAGGCATGACGCGACAGTGACTATATGAGAGAGATACTTCCTGAAAAGAAAATGGTTGTTTCATATAACAATACAGTAGTTCAGTAATGTTGCTCATCTCCGTCCATTTCGGGTCTCCTGACCTAACACATAGAATCAACAGTTTGCTGAAATGTTAAGTGGTTTTGTCAGAATATCGAATAAAACAGGAAAATTAATTGAGCCAAGGCCACTAACAGCATCAAACGATGGTTGTGCATAAAATCCATATTTACAACATGTGTCTTTGTTGCAACGATTGTCTCCTACTGTTATATCGTGAAATGCATCCGGTCGACATTTAGCGATGTAATACAATGTAGGATTCAGAAAACCCAAAAAAGGCAAACCGTGTTGTAATCGATAATCATTTATTAAACTAAAGACGCCCGCTATGGCCGGAGATGCTCCGGATGTACCTTAAAAAACAAAGAAAATAATGACCTTAGTAATTGAACAGAATGATAATCTTAATCTTTCCATTTATTATCAATTCAATAGAATATATTGTGAGCATTCATTCTTCTAGCGTGACAAACGATCATGTTTGCAGTAAAAGAAAATGCTATTTTACATCAATTTGTTTTATATTTTGTAACTTCGGTCCTTTAGACATTCGGATATGCATATATTTATTGATATTCTTTTAGAAAAAATGAATTTCATCTTTCTTGAAAGAGATCTACTTTATATATCGTGAAATGGAATGGAGGGTATTGTCTTCGTCTGACTAATTGGAGCAACATCGCAACTTTATCATTGGATTTGTTCAGTTTATAAAATTCACTTTTTCCATCGCCTGTGCACAGCTGAGGAAGACAAAGTCTTGGCATAAAGCATACAGGTCTATGGATGAAAAATCTACTATTTTCTTAAGAAAACTTATTCGAGAGACGTATATATTCGGTATCCGGGTGTGTGATTGCCTTGGACGACGGAAAAACAAAATCTTATAAACTGAACAAATAAAATGATAAATTTGCGATGTTGCTCCAATTAGTCAGACGAAGACAATACCCTCCATTCCATTTCACCATATATAAAGTAGATCTCTTTTCAAGAAAGATGAAATTCATCTTTTCTAAAAGAATATCAATAAACATATGCATATCCGAATGGCTAGAGGACTGAGATGACAAAATAAAAAATAACTTAAATTTTTGGTACAGAAAGAATGGACCCCTGCAGTGAGGCAGCCGAACCGGCTTGAATTTTGAAACGTCTCGTTGACAAAGCTGACTTACCATCTACAAGAAAACTTTGACCATTCGATGTCTCAACAAAATTCACCGCTGCAAAACTGATATCTGGATAAGCTCGTGCTAACTTGTTGAAAAATGTTGATGGGGGTATCTGCTTTCCACTGATATTTAGATATCGGTCAACAAAAGCTTTCTGATAATCAGGCTGTCCAATATATGCACTAAAACCACCGCCACTTGTAATTGAAGATAAAGTTTGGTCACTCAGAGAAGCAACGACTTCCTGCAAACATACTCCCCGTTCTTGTTTGACATAACGACAACTTGTATTTGTACTACTTCGAACGAATAATGTTCCACCAACACTTGTCATATAGGCCGATGACGATGGATACTGTGCAAGTCCAGTAGCACCACATCCAAGTGTTCTTGATGATGTTCCATCATCACCCGACGCAACAAACATTGTAAAGCCTGCTAATCCCAATGACATCAACTTAGTTTCCATGATGTCAATATAACTAGTTCCATAATTAGGTTCATCAGTAGAGTAGCTGAATGTGTGGACACGCGGTAACAATATAGAAGGATCCTGGGCCATTTCCAATATTTTTATTATCCAGTCAAAAATTAAACCATCGAATAGAGGACCTATAGAAATAAAGTCCGTTGGTATCCCACTACCCATCGCTGACATAAATTCCATATCAATGGTGGATTCATCACCGGGATTACTTGCATTGTTTTTACCGTAGATTTTTCCAACATTTAAATTAAACTTTTTTGCGTATACTCTAGCAAACGATTTAATACTAGCACGATTAATATATTGGGAACTAAAGCCAGCAACACCTTGTCTTAGAAGAGGAGAACGTTTCGCGTATTTACCGCCATAAGTTATATTATACATTGCCATGGCGACACCAGGAACTAGAGGAAGACTACGAAAGACTAGTGATCTATATATACCGATATTAGAATATTCAGTCGTATTCGTACCGTTACCAAATAATGAACGAACACTAAATTGATACAGGAAATAATTTTTAAAACGACTTTTATCAATAGACATTGTACACATAATCGCAGATTCATTCAATCCTTGACTGTTACATGTGCTGCTCACGGTACTATTTGTACACGGTACACAACTAAGCGAGTGAGTGATTAGGTCTGTACGACTCAGGACGGTGGTAAAGAGTGTAGGCGTTTGTTGGAGTTTAACAAAAATTTGCAATCCTTGGAAATTTGGACAAATTGTTAAGCGTGCCTCCTCACCATTTTGACAAATTAATTGGACGAACAGCTGACCCCTTTTGTGTAAATCAAATTTAACTTTTTGTATTATTGGAGCATTACTCGAAGTCGCTCTTTTACTTCGTACCAATTGAATATTTCTTTTGGTCACAGATTCCTTCTTATGACGTGTTATACGAGATGGAAATGCTGAAATACCATGGATCCAAGCAACTTTTGTGTGAATAGATAGCGGTAAACTATATGTCTCTGATCTTAATGCCATTTGATTAGTGACTACATTTCGATGTCGTCGGAACTTTGCTTGAAATAGTTTTTCAGCGGCATTCACAGGTAATCTTATTTTAATGAATTCGTTGTGAGCTGAAGGTTTAATAGTATGAATCTGAATACCTTGTTGTTTTTGTTCAACTAACCATTTTTCAATCTTTTCCCCTGTTGGTCGTGTATCCGTTAAAATAGTTTTATGAATATCGTTTATTGTCATGTATTTTCCATAATTTTCTTTATCTCGCGGATTCGATACCTGATCTAGTTTACGACGCAATTGTTCGACTTGATTAGGATTTGATTTTGTTACTATTATACATTCTAATAATTCATCGGTATTTGGTATGAGTGATTTCGATTCGACTAAATTCCATTCCTCTGGTCTATCTACTGCTATTGTTACTACATCAACGGATCGTGCTACAATACCGTTTAATATTTGTGAAATTAATAGTACTAGAAGGATCATCATGTGGCTGGTCAACTGTTTACCAATTTAGAAATAATACGAAGACAAATAATACTTTACCTTGCAAAGCAGTATCATGTACTCATAGAAAAATATTATGTACGCATGATTAATTTCATCTCTTTTCTTTCGTTTAGGATAGCTTATACGTTGTTTTTCTACCATTATGCCGATTTCATCATCGCTACAGTTGTGTGATATATTCACTTTAAACTATTCTCCATGGTAGATCGACTCTTAAAAAACAAAACAACTTTGTACTTTTCTAGGTTATTAG